AAACAAACAAACAAACCAAAATTTTTTTGTTTTTGTTTTCTTTGGTTAGACGGCGCGGACATCATCGCAGATGGAGAATCTAATATACTTTGTTTTTTTTGGGTATGACACGTCAAAATAATAATCGGGATAATCAAAGATCTAGTGTCCAACTCAAATTATCTATAATTTTCATTTGTTTATTTCATTTCGTCCTGACCCCTAAACATTCTAAACGTATTAATATTTATGAATATAATTTAGTTTTCGTCAGAATTACAATTTAAATATCAAATTGTATGAAACTTTTACGCATGACGGATATAGTCGTCAAACACACTTAACTGGTTACAAGAAAGTATCCATCACAAACAAATGAAGAACAATGTAAGGCCTATAGGTTATGAAAAAAAATGTTTTCTTAAGCAAATGAAGTATATCATTTTGTTTTATTAACGAAAAACTAATAACGAGTACAAGAAATGCAACAAAAAAATTAGAAAAAGTAAGAAAAATAAGAAGACAGTATCGTAGGTCTGACTGATATCGGACTACATCACTGTGGCTGGCAGTATCGTCGGTTTTACTACTGCAAGTAGTAAGTAGTACGAGTCGAGTAAGACGAAATGGTTCGCTATCGCGTTTCCCCCCTTTCCCCCGTCCCCCATTCGCTTATGCGACCGTTTACGAGCGAGGAGTGAGTGTATTCAAAGAAATGCATATTATCGTAAAATCTATTATGGCAAATAAATCCACGTTAAAAATGGCTCCTATCTTTCTTACGATATACCATATTTATACAGTCGATATTAATTTTCTTTAAGTTATTCGAACGAACGTGACGATTTGACTACTATTACTACTACTAATAAAAATAATAATAATAATAATAATAATAATATTTATTTATTGAGATGAGCTTTTTTTACAAAATGATTTTATAGAAAAATTTCAATAAAATAATATAAAATATTAATACACGAATATAAAATATAAAAAAATAAATTAACATGGGTGTCTACTTATAATAAGAAAAAATTCCATTTCACAATGTTTCATATTACGCGAGGCATAATTAATCAAACGTATTGTTTGTTTAAATATTATATTGAAACAATGTGTCAGATTGTTAAAGAATGACGATTTAAATATGTTCATTCTAATAGAAAATACGGGCGTGTCCAAGTGAAATAACTCAATGTGTCGACTGACAGAAAGTTAGAGAATAAAAGAAGAGAGAAAAAGAGAGAGAGAGAGAGAGAGAGAGAGAGAGAGAGAGTATTTGATAGGACGTGTGTGCCGTATCGAATAAAAGTAAAAGACAGAGTCGATGGAACGTCGTTTAACTGTACGAAACGAAACGAAATGGCGTATTTCGTTTAGTCTCAGTTTAACGTCGAAAGATCGAGAATATTTTCACGATGAGAATACCACCGCGAGGGGTGGAATTGAAAAAAAGTTTTATTCGATCTTACTATCAAACAACCAACCAACCAACCAACCCCTTATTTTCTCCCTTTTTTACCCCCGTTGGATAGGGTCCGTCCCTTTTTCAAGCACACGTACTGTTAAAAGAAGCTTCTAGGGGCTAGCTACGAATTTCACGATGTTTTCGAACGTGCAGTTATTTCCTAGATACCAAAGTGTGTTCAACTATCAGAGATACAGGCTTGAACATATGTGTATGTGTATATATGTACACGGGTGTATTCTCTTATATACACCATATATGCATACACCCACCCTTCTCATTCTACCCCTTTCATCCTGTTGATATTCTCAATACGTATTGTATGTACATATATGCAAACTCGGATAGGGATCTATATACGAGTATGGTTCTTCTAAGCTTCCATGCATATATTTGTTCTATCTATCTTTACACACACACACACACACAGACATATATATGTATATACATATACCAGATGACGAATACAATAGACCCCAACCGTGTGTGGCGATTCTAACGGCGTCAAGTGTCTTTGCCTCTCGAAGTTCTCTCACCTAACCGAAGACAATTCAAACGACGACGATGACAACGACAACGGTAATTCTGCGTCCCGAGATGCTTTGGTATTAAATGACCTGACAGTATAAAGCTGACCGGTACTTTAACGAACCGTTTTGAATACAATCCATGGTGGTGGTGGTGGCTAGGGGGGGCAAACAACGAGAGTCAACATTATTTTCTTCGATCTTATACGCTTGTATTGAACGTGAGAGATATAAAACTGGATTATCAAACGTTTCTACGAACAAACGCGAGTTCTGGATTCAAGATGTGTTAATTAGAAATTCAAAAAATATAAATAGGTAATAGGTTTTATTCATTTCTTTTGACTGTTATGGATATATGCGTTTGATGAATGTTAACAGCTTGTATTAATTGTAAAATAATGTAATATTAGTTTATTTTATTGAATCTAATCACACGTGAAAAATTATTACTTTGTAATTATTTAAATTTTAGCTAAAAGTATTCAGTAAATATTTCTAATGATTGACGAGAAAACAATGATATTTTTATTCAAAGAATTAATACAAATTAAACGTGGAAATTAAAATAAAAAACGAAATGACTACAATCCAAAAATGAATCCTAATATTTCTACCAAAGTATATTACATATTCCTAGAATAATTCTCTAACAGTTTAATATGTTCACTTGTTAAATATCACGAGAACGTCTCGGTGACTTAAGTCTCCTAATTTTAATGATCCACTTTACGGTCCTGTTGTAAATTCATAATGCTTTTGATTACAAGTCACCGACTAGTGTTAACTACTTGCAACATATATCTAGGATTTCTTAAACCCTTTTAAATACATCTCTCTCTCTCTCTCTCTTTCTTTTTATGAGTTATTCGTATTATATATGTCGAGAAACAAAAATAAGGAAGAAGAAAACATAAAAATAGAACAGAATAGACGAGTTCTCGTAATTCTCGTAATGCTCGTTATAATATCTCGTAAGGATTAAATTTATATAGAAAGAGAGAGAGAGAGAGAGGAATGGTGTCGTCAATGTGCTTCGCGAAGTGAACTTTATCGTTATCCGGTATATCAATAACAACACCGATGAATCAGGATCGGATTAAAAGACTTAGCGTTCATCGATGCGCACGAATGCACATTATTTGCTTAACACGATAGTACGCGTTATATAAAGGTGAGGGTTTCGATGGTGGGAGGGTGACTGAGGGTGGGGAAGAAAACAAAAATCATTTAGGAGAGAAAAATTGATTTATCCAATAGATTCTTCCCCTTCCCAACCCCATCCAATTCGTAGAAAAACTTATTACGATAAATATGATATTTTAGAAAAAAAAAATGTGATAAAATTACTTACTTTTAAAGAAATACCTCGAAAATTTGCTTTTACAGTTGGGCTAACATTTGAGTTATCTATATATATAATATATATATCAAGTATAGTAGCTTTTTGGTGTAGTGTACACGTCGTTTTGTTCTACCTACATTCACGGTCACGTATTTCCAGTAAAACACGTCTTCGGTTGGTTGGCAAGGCTTTTGGTCGAAAGTGGGTAGAGCTTAACGGCATGAGAGAAACGCGGGGAATGAACCAACCCCCCCCTAAACCCCCCTAAACCTACCACCCACCCACCCATCTAACCCCCCAAGAGTTTAGCGTCTGTTTCGCGACTATCTTCTCCTCTTCTTGTTACCGAAAAGCAAAAGAGAGAGAGAGAGAGTGCGAGTTTATTCTCGGATAAGGCCACCTTTCACGAGAGGGAAAGGTGAGAAGAGGATTTATGTGTTGGCTGTGACAAAGTTCTCGATTTCGTGACTCAACGCGAAAGCTCTGATCCACGTGATCCTTGACTAGATGGCAACGTGTGTTGCGAGTCAACTCGATTGTCTTTTCTATCTTCTTCTTCTTCATCTTCTTCTAGCATTTTATTCATCTCTGTTTAGTTTTTGTATTCGAGCAAACAATCATTCTTAAATCTTTTGATACTAGGCTGTATCAACAATCGTGACTACGCTTAGGTGACATCAATGTTTATTTGTTGATATAACGAATGAATTTATTCTATAGTAATTTTTAGAAAATGAAACATGTTTCCCTATTGTTTATTGTTTATTGATATGATTTTTGGGCTCTGGAATTTAATTACCTAAGGGTTACAAGATACAAGAGTTGTATAGTGTACAATTAAATTAACAAATTAATAATATATATTGTGTATATATATATATATAAAATTCAAAGCAGCTAAATTAAAAAATTCAAAATATCAAATTAAAACTTAATTTTTTTAATTTTTAAATCTAAGATTTAAAATTAAAAATTTTTCATACTTCAAACTTCAAACTAGAATTAACTCATTTTCTTTTATTATTTATTATACAATGTTAACTGTAAATTCAAGGATTAAGTTTTTCTTTATTATTTGCGTAAGATGTTAAAAAATTTATTAATTCTAATTTTTTTGTAATAAATAATTTTCTCTTTCCTGTATATATTTAAAAATTAAGAATTGTGAAAAAAACAAAATAAAAACAAATAAAAAAAATTATTAAAAAAAACTTCCCCAAAAAAGGATCGAACCACTAACTAGCAAAACGAGAAGCGAGTACGCTACTACTTACGCTAACGTGCCACTTAAAAAACAGTTGCATTTAAGATAATATAAATATGTATACAAAAACTTTAAAACTTTAAAAGCATTTTTCTTAAAATCGGCTTCGCATTTTGATAAAATACTTTACCACATTAACACCCTAAAGGTATACTACTAATATACCAAAGCTCGTTAAAACACAACCGTAAGGTCTCCTTGTTAATTTTAAAATTATACTATTCGATATGACAACTACAGAATTTAAATTTTTCCGACAAAGTAGACTCGAATTCGAAAGGGTTACAAATAAAAACCAAAAATATCATTTCCCTTCTTTTATCATTTGGAATAATATAATAACTAACGTGTACATTGTTCTAAAATATTTTTCTAATAAATGAATGAAATATTTGTTGTTTTCGATTAACTTACCAATCGTTTCCAGTTTTGGTAACGTTTTGACGTTTTCGTCCGGTCTGATGAGGTTTCGGTTCGGCCACCATATTGACGTCTGAAAACAAACAACAGTAAGCTTGTTTAATACTTCATTTATTTATCTATACACCCCTAATTTTCAATTGCGAATTTTTACGCAAATGCATATCCCATATTAATATTTAGAAAAATATGCAATAATTTATCGCATATGATAAAAAACATTAACCCAATCAACTGGGATAATTATTTTCCCATTGAAAGTATCTTCATGACCGATTAGGAAAATCTTCCATTTTTAATTTAATCACAACTTATGTGTGATTTTTATTGTAAGACAATAATTAGATAATGTCAAGATTCACATAGTCGCATTGTAAATGTCCGAAATAATAATCAAACCAGAACAAATCAAAATATTCGATCTTTCACCGATATATTATTCGGTATATGTCGACATTATTCAACCATGTGAATCTTGACAATCTATCAAATTTCGGTTTTTAACACTAACACATATACCTATATATTTTAAATATTTTTCCTTCATAAATGTCATATGATATGTATATTAATCATACATAAACATCAACAGAGAGAGACAGAATGAACGTATTAAATAATCATATCTATATACATATATATATACAGAGTGAGTATAGTGAAGAGGGATTCGTTTCCATTTTACGTGTTAAGCGTCAAACGAGGGATAAAATACAGAATAATAGCTAGAGGTGGTGAGTGTGGGGGAGAGTGGGGGGGGCTGGGGGGTGGGAAGAGTGGTGGTAATTAATACCGGCTGACGTTATCTAAGAGAAAACGTTTGAAAATTCTCTTCGTCATTCCGACGAACGTGAGATAATACGAGCATAAGAGGAGATCTTTAAAACCAAAAGGCAAATGACCGAAACACGAGACATTACTATGAAAAGAGGATGACGTTAGCTGTCCTGGTCTTCGTTCTAGTGTTGGTGTTGGTGCTGGGTACGTACCCAGGGTGCTGGTTCTACGTATGCAGACGATGTTTTACCGGATTCTCATTTCATTTATGAAATAACGTGTCGTAGGGTAGCAGCAGCACCAACACCAGTAGCAGTAGCAGCACGATAACGCAGAAATTTCTCCTCTTGGGTAGAAAACGCGACGAGGAGGGGTGAGGAAGGGGGAAGTGGGGATTGGGAATGGGGGACGGGGGGGGGAGGGAGGGTACAGGCCCGGCAAATTAATAAAGTGTAAGGCGACAGGAACGCTTGAGAGTTTCTGCAAACAGTTATTAATTTCGTCCCTTTGAAACACGATTGTGTACAGTAGTCGCTGTGGAGATACCACTAAGGTGGATAATGGATGCGCTCAAGTGATCAGAGAACCGGTTGAGCCATTCTGTCACCATAATATATCCTTTTTACTCTCTCCACTATACTACTATGACGAGAAAAATAAATGACAAGGTTGGTGGTGTCTGTATTATATATAGGTGTACCTTTTTATACTGCTACACACAAGTAGTATAAGTAAATCTGGGTATACGTAAAGGGTGCTGTTTTATATTTATATTTCAATTCATATATTTATGTTTTAAGAATACGAGATTTTATCGTTTTTTTTTTGGCTTTTGTATAAATATAAAATATTATGTGTATAGTGAAATAAAGAATTTATTTTTCTCGAC